TCTTCCAGAGTTATAAAATTTGCGCTTTTTTTCAAAAATAACAAATCGTACCAATGAAAAATGCCCTTATGGCATCAATTTAGATTTCAATTTCAGGATGTGGCAGGGTCTGAATGATATTTTTATGTTAAGCGGAGTTACCAAAGAATTAGTAAGATACTTTCTAAGCAAGATGGGGATCCACTCAATCAAGAGATGGCGTTTTAGGGTTGGGTGACCAGTTTAGGGGGAGTTTACCCGTATAAGCCCAAAACATCACTGAAAATTGTTCGTTTTGCTGCCTATCTTAACAGTACAAGGTGATGATAACACACTAGTTCTCACTTTTTTCCAAATTCCTAAGTTGTCCCTTTTGCTTTTACTTTATAGACCTACTCTGTATTACAGGCTATCTGCTGCGTTGAACTAACCCGAACTTGCTAAGTTGAAACATTGCCAACAGTTACCTAGCAACCCTTGGCTGTGCCAGACACACGAAACACCTAATTGTACAGGCCATCTATGACATGTACCCTTTTCAGCTCCAAGAACTGCAGCGTGATACCGCTGAATCTGAATAACCACGGAAAGGTCAATTTAGTACACAATAGACACATCTTGTAGTTGACAATAAGGTGTTGCTGCGAGACAATGCTTCTCATATAAATGTGGGGGAGGTGTGCCTTTTATTGGTAACGACCATAATTGCAAACGGACATGGGATAGGCTTGGATACTCAAACGCTCGAAATGCTGCTTTTAAAGTTATCTCTTGCTTTATAACAAACCAATACATTTTCCTAGATGTCTTCTCGTTGACGGACCTCCTAATTCTGTCATCATCAGCAACATATTGAATCTCCGCATACATATCAACGAACCACTCCTTAATTAACCCTTCTAAATGTAAGCGACAGACTCCACGAATTGAAAACATTAGGGTGGGGGGGGGGGGGGGGGGGGGGGGGGGGGGGGGGGGGGGGGGGGGGGCCAAGTGTATTTGTAGCTAATTTTGTAGATAAATGTAGAATGGATAATCCACGAAAAAAGTGTATGACATTCTACAAATATCTACATTAATCTCCAAAATTCAGTAGAATTATCTGGGCATTAACTTTCAATTTCATCACGTTTTAATATATCAGTGCTTTAATGATATTATCTGACTACTTGCACAGTTCTTCTATGTTTATTTTGAGTGTATTTACAATAGGAGATTAGTTCCATAACACTATCATACAATAGAGAAAAGCAAATGATCCAAAAGGGTGGAACTATCTTATTTAATGTTGCATATATGGGGGGCGGCGGCGGGGGGGGGGGGGGGGGGGGACTAAGTTCTTGATATCTAGTACCGGTGCTGTCAGTCACTGAATTCCAACCATGCATCTCCGCCTGACTAGGAGAATAAAAGAGGTACTGTTAAATATGGCAAAATACAATTGTCACAGGTGGAATGAGGAGGAGGAGGTGGAAGAGGAGGCTAGGAGGACTGTTGAGAAGAGGGGACTGAGGAGAAGGAAGAGGGAGAACTGAGGAGGAGGACTGAGAGAAGGAGGAAGAGGAGAGGACTGAAAGGAAAGGAGGAGGAGAGGATGAGGACTTCCTGGGGAGAGGAGGAGACTAAGGAGAATTATTAAGGAGGATGAGGATCACTGATCGGCTTAGGGAGAGGCCGAGGGTACTTATTTTATCTTAAACGCCGAAGGCCGAGGAGTGCCATCTTAGTTAAGAACCGAGCCGAGGGGAAGCCGATGGGTGCTTATTTTATTTGACCGCGGCCAGAGGTCAAGCCTAGAATAGCCCTTTGAAATAAACGCCATCATGTATTAGGAAAAAAAATAGGAATACTGTGTTCAGAAATGAGAAATGAGAATGTGTCGTACATATAAGAAGCTGAGGAAGGAAAAGGATAACTGAGGAGAGGACTGAGGAAGAAGAGGACTGAGGTGAGTGGAGGAGGTTGAGGAGGACTGAGGGGAGGAGAGGAAAAATAACTTCCAGGAGGAGCAGTAGACTGAGAAGGAGAGGACAGAGGAGGCGAGGATGAACTAGGAAAGGAGAATGACTGGGAAGAAGGAGGACTGATGAGGACTGAGGAGGAGACTTAGGAGGAGGTGGAGGACTGAGGAGAAGATGGGGGAAGTCGGAGGATGTTGGAGAAGGAGGAGGAGGAAGCACTAAATGTTATTTTCGTGAGAGTTTTTGTCCGTTCTGTATCCGTTTATGTCCGTTTTTTTGTCCGCTATCTGAGAAGAGGATGCGGATGGGGAGACGGAGGACTGAGAAAGAACTGTACATGCGATGACTGAGCGGAGGAGGAGTTTGAGGAGGACTGAGGAAGAGAGGGAAGGAGGTTGCAGGAGACAGTGAAGAGAAGGACTGAGGAGGAAGAGTTAGGAGGAGGACTGAGGAGGAAGAGTTAGGAGGAGGGGGAATGAGGAGGAAGAGTTAGGAGGAGGGGGACCGATGAGGAAGAGGTTAGGAGGAGGAACTGAGGCGGAAAGTTAGGAGGAGGGGACAGAGGAGGAAGACCTTAGGAGAGGAGGGCCTGTAAAAATGTCCGCTTTCTGAGGAGGAGGATGCGGAAGGGGAGCCGGAGAGACTGAGAAGGAACAGTACAATGAACATCGATGACTGCGGAGGAACTGAGGAGGGAAGGATGACTGAGGAAGAGGACTGAGGTAAGAGGAGGACTGAGGATAGGGAGGCATAGGTGGTGAGGAGGACTGGAGGAAGGGAGGACTGCAGGAAGAGGAAGGTCTGTAGGAGGATGAATAAGGAAGAGGATGTCAGGATGAGGAAGAGGATGACGTAGGAAACACTGAGAAGGATGACAGGAGGATGAACCATCTAACTGTCATTTCCGTAATCAGTTTTAGACATCACTCCGGACTGCGGAGGACGGAAGATTGAAGAGGAGGAGGAGGAGTTTTGAGGGACTGAAAGGAGAAGGACTGATGAGGAGAAGGACTGAGAGAGAAGCCGACTGAGGAGGGGAGTGTAGAGGACGAGGGGGAGGGAGGAGGAGGAGGAGGGAGGAAGGAGGAGGAGAAGGAGGAGTAGGAGGGAGGAGAGGGAGGGGGGGAGGAGGGGAGGAGGAGAGAGGAGGAGAGGGGATAAGGAGGAGGAAGACTTGTGAGGAGGAAAGGACCAAGGAGGAAAGGATCAGGTGTGTTGACTATATCGTAATCCACCTCATGGGCAAGAGATCGCAGTCATCATCAGATATGCTTGTGAAATTAGTAAGAATTATTTGAGAAGCCGTCCTGCAGGCTTGCAAACTTTCTGGCGTATAGTTGTGCGAAACATACTTACCCGACCCTTGGAATCATGACATTTGAACTCCTCAGCTTCGCTTTCTTGATCGAAAGCTGAGCTAAAAATCCCCCCCCCCCCCCCACCCCCTCCTGAAGACGAGGAGGTCTGAGGAGATGATATGGAGGAGGATGTCAGGATGAGGAAGAGGATGCGTAGGAACACTGAGAAAGGAGAAAGGAGATGAAACATCTAAAGTTATTTCCGTAACAGTTTTTGTTCGCTCCGAACAAATCATGACATTTGAACACTCTCAGCCTGGCTCCGCTTTCTTGATCGAATGCTGATGCCAAATCCCCAAAATTAGTTTTTTCCCCCCCGTTCCAGCAACAGAGTTTCTGCCGATCTGTATGTCGATCGTTCGAAGGGTTGTGCTGAAACTAGTTTGCGCTCCGCATCGCTTTTCCTCCGATTCTACCATATTACTAAAGTAGCATCCAGTGCAAAGTGGGACAGGTCCCACTTCAACATTCCCACACTCAGTCAACTCCTGCAGGGTCTCAATTTAAACCCCTCTCATTCAATCGGATGAGTTTTCATCTTCTAATATATGCAGGAAAGGTAACTTGAACTTCTTTACCATCGTCCACGAACAGCCTTGGTACCTCGTTTCCATGGCTTTTGTTCAACGATCTATTTTATTGTCACTTTGAACATCAAATCGTGGACCTCCTTCGTATCATTCTTCCATGTCTCGTGTGGTAGTGGAACTTCTTCCCTGAAATACTGCGTCCACGGGAATGGGCATAGGCTTCATGTCATCTGCAAAAGCGAGTTCTTTACGAAGATTTCTTTTTTTAGCATCAAAAATCCTAGTAGGTTTATGTTGTTATTTTTTGCGAAAAAGGGAGATAGAGAATGAGTCCTTTTCCGAAAAAGTACTTTTTCAGATTTTTAAAAAAAAAGTCTGAAAAGTTAAAAAAATGAAAAACATCTTTTATATTAGTTTCAGGGGAAAAAAAAAAAAAAGATTGGAACAAGTTTTTACCTTGCCCCTGGGGATAAAACCCCTTGCTAAAAAGCCCTCGCTAAAAAAAAGGATGTCTTCAAAAAAAAGTCCTGTGGCTAAATATCCTTCTCTAAAAAAAAAATACTGTAAAAACGGACGACCAGAAAACAAGTAAAAGGTTTTTTTGGGACGGTCAGTCAGTTTTAAAAACATGAGAAAGTTTAGGCAAAAAGCATATAGGGGTTTTTGTCCTTGATGAAATTATATAAAGTGGTTAAACAAATAAAAAAAAAAAACCAAAAATTAAAGGTTTTTTAATGCCCCATGTATGTTACTAAAAAGCTTTTTTGGAACCCAAAATGTTTAAAAACAGTAATGGATAAAGAAAATCACACAAATATTTCTATAAATTTTTTTGTAGATAAAGTAGTTTTTTTGTTATTGTCAATGGTTTTAAATTCACGAAAAAAAGTGGAGACATTTAAAAAATTTTCTACAAATATTCCACTTGGCCCCCCCCCCCCCCCCCCCCCCCCCCCCCCCCCCCCCCCCCCCCCCCCCCCCCCCCCCCCCCCCCCCCCCCCCCCCCCCCCCCCCCCCCCCCCATGATACTGATAGGACTTAAGTTTTATTTAGGGCAAGTCCCGACGTGAGAATGAACTATGAAGCTAATATACAAAAATCGACTGCTTTATAGGGCTCAGTAATGATACTTCAGAGTTCAGATTTGAAAAAGTAATATTGAATATTTTCAGCTCGAATATGCAGACTGAGGTAGGAGGTACCACTGATAAAGTGGAAGAGCTGGAAACAACATTGACCGGGAAATGGAGAATACGAAAGCAACACAAGCGCTCACTGGTGACATTGACTGAATCAGTACAAGCTCTGCAAACAACCAGGTTGAGAACATGGGCCGGGGGGGGGGGGGGGGGGGGGGGGGCATTCCTTTATTCTCAATTTAATTTTTACATCGTGTAATTTATGGTATAAATTATACATCGCTCCATGATACTGATAGGACTTAATTTTTATTTAGGGCAAGTCCCGACGCGAGAATGAACTATGGAGCTAATATACAAAATCGACTGCTTTATAGGGCTCAGGTATGATACTTCAGAGTTCAGATTTGAAAAAGTAATATTTATAAATATTTTCAGCTCGAATATGCAGACTGAGGTAGGAGGTACCACTGAGAAAGTGGAAGAGCTGGAAACAACATTGACCCGGGAAATGGAGAACACGAAAGCAAACAAGCGCTCACTGGAGATATTGACTGAAACAGTACAAGCTCTCCAAACAACCAGGTTAAGAACATGGGCCGGGGGAGGGGGGGGGGGGCATTCCTTCATTCTCAATTTAATGTTTACATCGTGTAATTTATGGTATAAATTATACATCGCTCCATGATACTGATAGGACTTAAGTTTTATTTAGGGCAAGTCCCGACGTGAGAATGAACTATTAAGCTATTTATAGTACAAAATCGACTGCTTTATAGGGCTCAGTAATGATACTTCAGAGTTCAGATTTGAAAAAGTAATATTTATGAATATTTTCAGCTCGAATATGCAGACTGAGGTAGGAGGGACCACTGATAAAGTGGAAGAGCTGGAAACAACATTGACTAGAGAAATGGAGAACACGAAAGCAAACAAGCGCTCACTGGTGACATTGACAGAATCAGTACAAGCTCTGCAAACAACCAGGTTAAGAACATGGGCCGGGGGAGGGGGGCCGGAGGGGGGGCATTCTTTCATTCTCAATTTAATGTTCACATCGTGTAATTGATGGTATAAGTTAATGGTTCATTGTTCCGTGAGAGGACTGTTAAAGTTTTAGAAACAAGCCCCCACGAGAGAATGAACTAATATTAATATAAACATGATATAATTATAAAGCTAATATGATTAATTTTAGTTCGAATGTGATGATTTTAAATGGCGAAGAGAGCGCTGGAAATGCACGATGTGCCAAAGTGTGTGCTGGAACAACTGGTAATTCCACAATTTTATTAGACTTGTTGCACTCCGTAATTTATGACATATAAATTGTCCATATAATCTCAGTTCAATGCTTTACTATATCTCTTCATTAATGGAATTGTTATGTATGTAATTACCATTATCATTACTATATATATATAAGTAACATCAAATTATGAATTCAACTAACACACGTTTTATTCAGGTAGAAGTTCAACCAGTCATTCACGTTATGGCTCTCAGGACATCTCCATATATGTAAACATTAGCGGGTGTGGGTTCGTTAAAATACCGACAATAACAACATCAGTAGAGGGACGTGGCGGTCACGACGAAGCTACAGGTACCTCTTCGGTTTATTCCGCAACAAGAACAGGATTCACGATGCGCTTCAGAAGGGGACATGCTTCTCATTATGCAACAATTTACAACTGGAATGTTGAATGGATTGCAATAGGCTACACGTGTTAAAAACTATCTCCAAAACATCATCATGGTGAATACGGAGCTAAGAACTATTGCATGGGTTTTTTTTATTTTTATTTTTTTTATCTAGACACTTATTTTACTTCGGTGTATTCCAACAGCCACAATGTTACACAAGTGCAACCAGCCAATTACAGGAAGCCGAAGGATCTTTTTTGGCCAGTGACGGTTAAGGTAGTGTGTACCATACTTTCTTCGTCCGAGACTTTGCTGCAATGTGCAGCTCCTCATTTAACCCTCACACCCGATTTCTCGAGTATTCGGCTGAGTAGACCGGGGGGCTGCATAGACCACTCATGATCCTTAGCTGAACGTCGACGACGCTCACCCCACGACCAGGCAGTCAGTGGGTTTCGAACTCGCAACCTTACGATTGTAAGACAGGCGTTCTAACCAACTGCGCTACCTGGCCATGGTTCATTGTTCCATGAGAGGACTATTAACGTTTTTGAAACAAGCCCCCACGAGAGAATGAACTAATTATATTAATATAAACATGATATTATAAAGCTAATATTATGATTAATTTCAGTTCGAATGTGATGATTTTAAATGGTGAAGAGAGCGCTGGAAATGCACGGTGTGCCAAAGTGTGTGCTGGAACAACTGGTAATTCCACAATTTTATTAAACTTGTTGAACTCCGTAATGTATAACATATAAATTGTCCATATAATCTCAGTTCAATGCTTTACTATATCTCTTCATTAATGGAATCTTAGTGAAGACTGAAGATGTAGTTAGTTAGTTAGAAGATGTATCTATATTATATTTTTAATTTTAAACTTGACGAAACAAAAAAAACACTGAAAATTTACCAAAATTTACCCTTCTTCTTGACCAATTCCAGCTCGCAAATGGAGTTGAAACCTCGCGATTTTTACAAGGGTTGTAGAAAAAGGACAGGAATACGAGACAGCATTCTTAGAATTTTGATTTAGGCTTTAGATTTTGTATAATTAACGTCGGAAGTGAGGTAAAATTAACGTTAGAATAACGGTGTTATTTTAGCAAAGGATACCTGCGTCGTGGCTTCAAGAGATTGCACGTGCTCTAGCAAGCACACATTAGCAACGCGCGTTGCCATGCTTTATGAAACGTCATGACTAGTTCACTTTTACGCTCACGCTATGACTATTCATAACTTTGGTTGTGATTGATATCTTTTTATGAGGTAAAAAGTATCGTTTAGGGAATTTGAATACTTACAACGTTGTTGTCATTGTAAAATAAAATCCATGATTTCTAAAGTATAACATAGCTACTAGCTAGCTAGATAAGACGATGAAAAGAAATTAAAACATAACTGATTTATAAAATTTTCTCGAACAAAGCTTTCGACTAGCGGGTTTCTAGTATTGTATAATGTAAAGAAACTTTGGTGACTTTTTTATTTTGGTGACTATTTTATTTATCAATTTTATCAGTGATCAGTTAATATCACGATCAATAATAACTGATCATGCCTATCATACATAGCATATACACTTATTTAGCTTATTTTGTAGCTGCATTATTATTCATTAGGAAGGCCAGATACTAATTAATAAACGAATGCGGAGGTATTAATTATACAAATGTTAGCTTAGTTCTGATGATCGTTTCAAAGGTTGTTTCATTTGTCTTATCCTTGGAGATGGTTCTAAATAATTAAATCACTCATGTCTAAAAATGACATTGTATTGTCGTCTAGCCGTAGCACTGGTGTTCAATGAACGATCCTTTGATGATTATACATGATGTAGTGGTAGAAACATTAAACAACAGTATTATATGTGATGCTAGGTATGTAGTGATAGATATGTAGTGGTAGGTATGTAATGGTAGGTATGTAGTGGTAGGTATGTAGTGGTAGGTATGAAGTGGTAGGTATGTAGTGGTAGATATGTAGTGGTAGATATGTAGTGGTAGGTATGTAATGGTAGGTATGTAGTGGTAGGTATGTAGTGGTAGGTATGTAGTGGTACGTATGTAGTGGTAGATATGTAGTGGTAGGTATGTAGTGGTAGGTATGTAATGGTAGGTATGAAGTGGTAGATATGTAGTGGTAGATATGTAGTGGTAGGTATGTAATGGTAGGTATGAAGTGGTAGGTATGTAGTGGTAGGTATGAAGTGGTAGGTATGTAGTGGTAGATATGTAGTGGTAGATATGTAGTGGTAGGTATGTAATGGTAGGTATGTAGTGGTAGGTATGTAGTGGTAGGTATGTAATGGTAGGTATGTAGTGGTAGATATGTACTATATGTAGTGGTAGGTATGTAATGGTAGGTATGTAGTGGTAGGTATGTAGTGGTAGATATGTAGTGGTAGATATGTAGTGGTAGATATGTAGTGGTAGGTATGTAGTGGTAGGTATGTAGTGGTAGATATGTAGTGGTAGATATGTAGCGGTAGGTATGTAGTGGTAGATATGTAGTGGTAGATATGTAGTGGTAGGTATGTAGTGGTAGATATGTAGTGGTAGGTATGTAGTGGTAGATATGTAGTGGTAGGTATGTAGTGGTAGGTATGTAGTGGTAGGTATGTAGTGGTAGGTATGAAGTGGTAGGTATGTAATGGTAGATATGTAGTGGTAGGTATGTAGTGGTAGGTATGAAGTGGTAGGTATGTAGTGGTAGGTATGTAATGGTAGGTATGTAGTGGTAGGTATGTAGTGGTAGGTATGAAGTGGTAGGTATGTAGTGGTAGGTATGTAGTGGTAGATATGTAGTGGTAGGTATGTAGTGGTAGGTATGTAATGGTAGGTATGTAGTGGTAGGTATGTAATGGTAGGTATGCAGCAGAGGGATGTACTACTAATTACCTATTAAACTCACCAATGCTGACGACGAGTATGTAATGGTAGGTATGTAATGGTAGGTATGTAGTACAGAGGGATGTACTACTAATTACCTATTAAACTCACCAATGCTGACGACGAGTATGTAATGGTAGGTATGTAATGGTAGGTATGTAGTGGTAGGTATGTAGTGGTAGGTATGTAATGGTAGGTATGTAGTGGTAGGTATGTACTACTAATTACCTATTAAACTCACCAATGCTGACGACGAGTCCACGGAGGAAGCTGATGATGTAGTTGGGAGAGGTTAGCAGAGCCATTGACCGGGGGAAGAGCACGTTAGGGTTGTTATACTCCACATTTTGAAGGAACACCTCGCCTTCGTGCATTGCTACAGCTTCTTTTTCCTTCTCAGTTTTAGGTAGAATCACTGAGGAGGACAGGGTCCTGCAATGTCACAGTGAGAACGTATGCGGAGGGTTATGCATGTTTTCCTTTGTGAACGTGTAACTATGGTAACTAGTAGTACGTGTGGGCCACTTGTTCATTGTTTAACATAAGTATCCTAGAATTACAACAATCCGATTATGTTAGACCAAGTGTTCTCTCTCTCTCTCTCTCTGTTTTGGTCAACGGTTTCTGGCCTCCTACTTTAAAGAGGGAGGACTTAGTGCACGATAGTGGACAAATCGACATTTAAACTATCAGCTCAAAACATCTTAAAAACCCTCTGGTAGCTCTGTAAGCAAATCACGGCTCAGGAAATATATCATAATATATATTGGTATTATAACTCACGGTAACAGAGGTACAGCAGCACGGAGAGAATCGTGTTCAGTCAACTCCAGCTCACTGTGTACAAGATGATGAAGTGCCTCCATAGCTACCTGCCTGGTCCTGTCTATCTTCTCAACACTCTGCTGCAGGAAGCCGCGCACTAGCTCCAGCTTCAGATCACGTGTAAATGTCAGATTAACTGGAGGGGCATTATCTGCAGTGCTTTTAGCAACAATTTTTAGCTAATGTTATTAGCTAAAATTATAATTATTAGCTACAATTATTAGCTAAAATTATTAGCTAAAATTATAATTATTAGATACAATTATAATTATTAGCTACAACAATACCTAAAAAATAAACATGTTATTATCTGCTTTACTTTAGATACACTGCAATTTTACACTTAATCACCATGTTGAGTGTAACAGTTAATTATAGTTATAATGTAAATTTTAATGACTATAAATGGCAATTAGCGATAACAGTAATAATGCCAATTATCAAGCTTCTAAAAATTAATATGCCTACTTGTGGGATGTCCTTTAGACAAGATGAATTGGTTACACTTCATTAAGCACGACATAGCCGCCTCCCTAACGTAGCTTCCGATATCACCTCTACTGTCAGTACTGTAATCTTCTAAACATTCCAACAACACTGCATAGATCCGCCCGCGCGTCTCCGAGTTGCACTGACACACCAACTGAACATTAGTTATCGCTTTAACAGCGCTCACCCTGCATTCTGCTAAACTTGTCTCTGATTTGCTCTGCACTTTGGTGCACGGAGGGAGGAAGTTAAGAAGAACCATGGTGTCCTGGTTCAACACACATCCCGGGAGGACACTCAAAGCCAGCGCTGAGCCAACCCGCGTCGCGGTGAACTCGTGCCGGATGTGGCTGGTATAGTGTTCTACTATTCCAGACCACACTTCCGGGTTAAACTCAGTGTAGTACTGGTAGGAGAAACCACGGAGAGATTCAACTGACATGGCTTGTACACCGACAAACTGTTCTGGGTTCACAATGCACACATCTAAAAATTCCTGCCATGCTTTTATTGTCTTGCCGGTCAGCGCGACTCCAGCGTTAGATATTTTCTCGATAAAGTAGCACACGGCACCCCGCATTTCATCCCCCCCAGATCCCCTGAACGACCCTCTAGTGTCCAACACAGTCAGTGTGTTGTTTATCTTATCTACTAGATCTACTGATATGTGATCTCGGTTTTTGAGTCCAACACAGATGTCCCCGATGGCGTGAAGGGCACCGTGCCGACAGTTGAAGTCTCCTGTTTCTAAGGACTCAAGGAGAAGAGGGAGGACGTTGGAGTAGATGTAGTCCGGGAGAATGGAACAGAGGAGACCTAATGCGACACTTGCGTCTTTTCTTATAGTCCTGCAGGTCAAACAAGGCTTTAAATAAAAGAGCTGAACAACTGTTTAGTGTTTAAAATTGAACAAACTCAAATGCCAATAATCATAACTGCAACGCAGAATTTCATAATTTGTACTTTAAATAATTATTGTAGAATAATTCATGTACAACTGAGATTCTACTAAAATCAGGTGTGATAATTTTTGTCATATAATGCCTTTTAAAATAACTTACAATAACTTAATCAATCACTTACAATAACTTACAATAACTTAATCAATCACTTACAATAACTTACAATAACTTAATCAATCACTTACAATAACTTAATCAATCACTTACAATAACTTACAATAACTTAATCAATCACTTAATTAATAACTTAATTAATCACTTAAGGGGACATATACAAAAAGCTTTTATGTCCCGAACAGGCTGTAACTTCATATTAAGAAAGTATACATTAAAACAATAAGATTTGATACATTAAAAATTATTTTTGAGGAACCGCACTTTCGAAAAAATAAATATTTTCTTTTTCGAAAATTTTGAAAATTTTGAGAAGTCTGTCACTGTTATACCGATATTTCAGTCGTTTTCAACGTTTTTTGGCTGATTTTTTTACTGAACATTACTTACACTCCGTACAAGAAGCCCTTCAAAGGATTTTATAATTAAAATATAGATGACGAAGTTACAAACCAAACAAGGTCGAGAGAAGCAAAATTGAAATTTTTGTAAAAATCAAAGTTGTATATTTTACCATTCACCCAGGTCATAAGATATCGCTTTAAAAATTCTTGTGAGTGTAGCTGATAATCATATCCAACTTTCTGGAACAGGATTTCTCTCAGTTTTGAGTTTTAAGGTATGAAATGTGGCCTAAACGACTTAGTAAAATTCATCGTAAAAAAGGGCCAAACATGGCAGAATTAAGGCTTAAAATGCCTATAACTCAAAAAGTATCAGTTTAAAAAAAATAATTTTTACAGTATCGTAATCAGGTCTATCCAAATCTGCCAAATTCCTAGGAGTGACCCTCGACAGCAAGCTCAATTTCAATGAACATATCACCAATACCACCAAAAAAGCTACGGCATCCCTTATGCAATGTAGAAGAGCTGTCGGCCCCACTTGGGGTATGAGCCCTAAAACATGCAAATGGATGTACACCGCTGTCATCAGACCTATTCTATCATACTGCTGTAGTATATGGATTAGAGCAACCCAAACAGACACCAACGCGAGGAAGTTCAAACGAGTTCAGGCATTGGCATTGAGAATGATGTCTGGTGCCATGCCTAGTACTCCCTTCATCGCACTGAACCACCTCACTAACACTCCAGATATCATACTTTTCCTGAGAGGTGAAGCAGCAAAGGGCACAGCCAGGCTTCAAGCTTATGGAAGCCTAACCCTCGAAACTATCGCCCCCAGAAAAGGTACCATCACAACTCACACCACTATCAACAAACAATTCATGGTAGATCTCAACATACCACCCAAAGCAGAGAGAGACCTATCTATACCAACCATGATGCTTGAACGACGCTTCACGGTCACCACTCCTGGAGCTGACAACATTGGATATAGAGGCTCACTCCAAAACACCATCGACAACATCCCCAGTGAAACCATCACCTGCTACACAGACGGGTCACGCACAGACTCAGGTAGCGGGGCTGGTTATATTATCACCACAGACAACAACAACACTACACTAGATGAAAGATCATTCAAGCTTCCCGATCATTGCACCGTTTATCAAACAGAACTCACTGCCATCATCGAAGCTTGTAAATATCTATCAACTTATACAAACACACACATCATCATATGGTCAGACAGTCTCTCCTCTATTCAAGCCATATCCTCACCTTCAACGAGGAGTAGGACTACTAGAGACTGTTACGACACCCTCAATACACTCGGATCCACTAACACCTTAGAGATCAGATGGATAGCTGCACACATTGGATTGTGGGGTAATGAAAAAGCAGACGAGCTGGCCAAAAATGGTACAACCAGTGAATCCACTTTGAATTGCCCAATTCCACAATCTTACATCAAACGCCTGATCAACGACAAAGTCACAAAACTTAATCAAGAATCATGGATTACTGATGGTCCCAGACACACTAAACTGACACTTGGACATAAAAACATCAACATCATCAAAAATCTCAACACTACACTCAGTAACAACAGACAAAATTATAGAACTGCAGTGCACCTCATCACGGGACATTGTGGCCTCAACAAACACCTACACACCATTCGCAAATCAGACACAAGTGCTTGTCCTAAATGCGGCGACGAAGAGGAGACTGTCTCACACTTTCTCGGACAGTGCCCGGCTATTGCTCAAATAAGAGGTCAATATTTCCGGGACTACTACCTCTCTGTCAATGACATATTCGACAACCAACACATCTCCACCATTGTCAACTTTACAAACCACACTAAACGCTTAGTGGTGCCAGAGGAGTTGGACCAGACAGTGCAGGTGTAACATAGCGACTACTTTAACGCCGTCTTATTTCGCCTCTCTCTTCCACACTCAACCACCACTTAAGCGTTTATCTATGACACACCCCACAACACTTACCATCATCCTTGATTACACATCTTGATTCCACTGGCATCCTCCCACAGGACTGCCATACCCCAGAGGTAGGCAAAGCATTCATATGCTATCCTCTCGTGGGCCAACCAGGCCCAGCCTCTCTAAAAAAAAAAAAAAAAAAAGTATCGTAATCAGCTTGAGAAGACGAATCTTTTAGTACCAAATAGATGATTTTAGAAGACAAATTGTATTAAATAATTTTCCAGCTCGAACACAAGGGTCCCCACTTGTATAAATTTTGTACAAATTGTACACATTTTTTTACAAATTTTGTGTCTTTAACTATTATAAATTTTGTACTAAAAGATTCGTCTTACCAAGCTGATTACGATCCTGCAAAAATTATTTCAAAAAAACTGATACTTTTTGAGTTATAGGCATTTTAAGCCTTAAATCTGCCATGTTTGGCCCTTTTTTACGATGAATTTTACTAAGTCGTTTAGGCCACATTTCATACCTTAAAACTCAAAACTGAGAGAAATCCTGTTCCAGAAAGTTGGATATGATTATCAGCTACACTCACAAGAATTTTTAAAGCGATATCTTATGACCTGGGTGAATGGTAAAATATACAACTTTGATTTTTACAAAAATTTCAATTTTGCTTCTCTCGACCTTGTTTGGTTTGTAACTTCGTCATCTATATTTTAATTATAAAATCCTTTAAAGAGCTTCTTGTACGGAGTGTAAGTAATGTTCAGTAAAAAAATCAGCCAAAAAACGTCGAAAACGACTGAAATATCGGTATAACAGTGACAGACTTCTCAAAATTTTGAAAATCTTCGAAAAAGAAAATATTTATTTTTTCGAAAGTGTGGTTCCTCAAAAATAATTCTAAATGTATCAAATCTTATTGTTTTAATGTATACTTTCCTAATATGAAGTTACAGCCTGTTCGGGACATAAAAGCTTTTTGTATATGTCCCCTTAATTAATCACTTACGGGCACCAATGCCGAACTTTAACCTCCGCCAAATGATCAATAACAGGTTTACTATAGGGTTCAAAGGACGCTACTTTGACTGACAGTTTCTGGTAAGTATTGGACTGCAATGCCACTGCGTAGTAGTCACATGTGGTCACGAGATCAATACCATGTGGAAATGACCCTTGTCGTCCAACGTTTTCCTGGAATGCAGCGGACGCTGCACGACGACAACCACAGTGCCTGCAGGAATAAGTGATGAAGTGGAGGAAACAAATGGTTTATGGTTGAATTTATTACATTGCTGCGTTAGCCTAATATTTAGGTAAATCCTTATAAGGCTTGAAAATGAAGCCTAATTTCGGATGCTTGCAAACTTTCCAACAAATCCTCAACTTATCACACAATCTCATTTGCTGAGAAGCAGTACAGAAGCAGTACAGAACTCAAGTTCTCTATTTCGTTTTAAACTTTACCTGTCGAACAGTGTAGCAAGGATAAGGGAGCTGGCAATAGTGTGGACGAAAGGTGCAATCTGGGCAGGCTCGTAGGTCCGAGCAAAGGACCAACAGAGGTAGCAGGCTGCATCACGGACATTGGCCCCTGTACAGGAGATCATATTATTTATTTTGTCTGCCAACATACCCAATGTTTCTAACATGCCAGGTATTTTGTGAGCTTCGTTGATTAAATATCGAGAATTCAGCGCCCAACAAATAAACCTGATCATATTTAATCTTGTGTAGAAAATTATTCAAAATTCAATCACAGGCCATGAAGGAGATAAATAAAACGAGTTAACGAACTATTGATAAGTAATTACATTAATTATAGATAATAATTACCAATGATAAGATTGCCGCGTTTTTCATCATACTGAAGAGCTTTGACCAAGATAGGAACAACTTCTGGCAAATGGTCAGGTAAGAGGAATCCGTGTCTACCTAACTCTGCTAGTGCCAAACAACCTGGACAGTTATAAATAAATAAATAAATTTTAACATCTATTACACGCTTCGACATTAAAATATACCCAACAAAGATGTATATTTAAGTCATTCAAGCGAGACTTAGTGTTGAAATACCAATTTTACCTTTAGGATACAACATATTGGCAAATATAGCACAATTTAGCACAATTTTATAGAACATTTCACATTTCATAGGCTTCTCTGTGGTAATTAATTATACAATTGTTTCCTGTTTAAGTGACATCACGCTCCAGTGTAAACTGATACATCAGGGACAGCAGGGTACACTGGAGCAAACTTACTGGTGGCGGTGATTTAATCAGGGTACACTGGAGCATAACACTAAAGCAAACATACTGGTGGCAGTGATAACTAACTTTATACAATATCCTAATTATACTTAATAGTTAGCTAATTAGTTATGAAGAAATATCAAAATTATAACTTCTCAAACTCATTAAAAACCTCCATGCCAAGAAGATGCAGTTTCCAGCGGGGAGAAACAGTCTAAAAGCTGGTTAACAATGTCTGTAGCTAAGGAACGAGGTAGTCTGGCAGTGATCCGTCCTACTCCCTTCGCTGCAGACCATCTGACAATAGTCTCCGGATCTCGGAGTCCTGAACGATAATCATTACTAGGGTAGCAGAGTGTAGTTGAGTGTGCACTTCGATGTCCACAATTTTTGACCACACAGGGTCTTTCATTAGGTCATTTGTGACCTAATGAAAGACCCTGTACATTTGTGACCTATGTACATAGGTCACAAATTATGGAGAAATAGTGGAAAAGTGAGGAACCGGAAATATATGGTAGAATTTAAGATACTTTGTTATTCTTAGAATATTGACGTGAACAAATGAAGCAACGATCGACTTTTTAAATTAAGTTCTTCAAACGATAAATTAAACTTCAAGTAGGGATTTATATAAAAGCTAGAGCTGTACTGCAACCAACCTCTGAAAAGAACCTCCAGAACTTCTTCGATCTCATCAGGAATCTCATACCCCTCCTCGTCCTCGTCCTCATTCTCAGGATCTTTAACATCCTCAACTTTCTCTTTCTCTTTCTCTTTCTCTTTCTCATCACTGCCCTTGCCAAGAGAGTCAGCTAAGAGTCGGGTACCGCGAGTATAACGCCACTTAGCAACTCGCGGGGCTAAGAAGGAGATACCTGGAGAGAATTGATATGTTGAACTCACCTCGTATCAATATTGAATAGATACTATTTGAGGTAGATTAAGTTGCCAAAATACAACAAAACGTTGCATCACCAGCTGCACTGGCTGCTGCACTGGCTTACTCTGTAACAACACACAAAACACTCCGTTAAACATACAACTAACCATCCTTAAACATACTAATTACAACACTACAAATCTATTACATTTATTGAGAATTATGTAGTGTAACACGATGGAAGTATTTTAAGCGGGCATATCCTGTCCAAACCCAGGATGCACGGCATAAAGAATTTGTTTTAGCTTGTTTGTATGAAAAGCATTAATACAACTAACCTATCCTCTGGGCAAGTTTAGTCTCAAACTTCCTCAGTAGGGTATTCTGGTTGAGTCCCAGAGACAAACTCTCCAGTTGTTGTAACACGTATTGTGAGTGTGGAAGTATATAGTCTCTCCTGCCCAACTTGTATATCCGACACAAGGCAGTCAGCGTTCCCAGCTTTGTTTTTGAGCCCTGGTGATTTATGTAAGTGAGTGATTATTTAGAGATAAGAGAGAGAGATAAGAGTAAAGCTCCATATGGCGCGGCGGGTGGTTGATTCAGATAATAGCGAAATGCAGCGACATCCTCAATATTCCGGGAGAAATTGTAAATAACATATATCTATATATTGATAAATATATCTAATATTAAAAGTTTCAAGATGTCTAGTGAAAATACCCGACACAGGGACCACAGAACTGAGCAAACAACCAAACTTACAAAAACGGCATCATTTTCAGCAGCCTTGCAGTCAGTAATGAGCTGAATTATCGTTGGCTTCAGATGTTGAGTATGGAGGTCGGGTCTGGTCACCAATTTAGCAACTACCAGCGCTGCTGCTTCGCTCGACTTGTCCGCTCCTTCAATACGATCCTGGGATTAAAAGATGGTGAGATGTTATTAAATATACAAATATACTATGTACTATAATTAATATACTATATAAATATACTAAACTCAAAAGCATTTTAAAATCATGAATGATGAATGATCATTATGGTTATGTTTAAAAAAAACTAAATGTGAGAAGAATAAACTGCCTTTTGTAATTGTAAACACAAAATTTATCATATTATTAAGAAGTAGAAGCTCCCTAATTTAGAAAGTAAATACTGACGGATCATCTGAACTTACGGTGGCAATTTTCAGCATACGCCTAATACTCCATCCTTCCTCCCTCTCTCCATCCAGCCTCTTCAAATCAAACGGTATGAGAACCAGAATACTGAGCCACAGGAACAGCACATACTTTGCATGCCAAATATCACTCTTCTCTGATTCCAACAGACTCAGAACCGTCTCAATATCCGCAACTTCGTGGGGAAGTAATCTCACTATATACTTCTGTCCTCTTACTTTCGTTAACAGATATAAGTATTTGAAGGCCAAGTTTATGGCCATTTGGGACACCTTATCGGATAGTCCTACAACGAGCAACTTGTCTATCCATTCCTGAAGATGTGGGTCCAGAACATGAGGCTGCTCCTGGTAAAAGTTTATGATTTCTGTTATTTTCTGGACATCCCGTTCGGTGTAGATGTCAAATTCCTTGACGTCCCACAAGTTGGCAATGTACTGATCGATGTCTTTTGTGTCTTGTGGATCGACCCATGATACTGTTGCGCTTTGAGTGTCAGCACTTGGCATCTTGTGACCTAGCATGCAGTTTGTGTGTTGATATTGTTATCTTGGAAAGTTACTTTTACCAATAATTATTGATCTAGAAATTCTTAAAATATGTCATATGATTTTATTCTGGTCTAGGTCATACCTGGCGTGACCACATTAAATCGTAATTATGATGAAGCCAATGATGGACTAGTGGTTTCGATAAAAGAAAATAAATTACTCACAACAAGAATTAAAAACCACAGAAATAAAATTCGTTCAGTGAATCAGTGGAGATGATACAGTTGGTTGAACTTCCCCACCACTGCACTATCCCGACTTATTGCACCCTCTATTTTAATCACATATCCTCTCTTAACAGTGGAGTCCTTATTAAACGCGATAAGTCCGTGCACTACATCACCTTCTAAAACATCAGTAGGACATTTCAAGTAGAGTATAGTTTGTAACCAGTGAGTGGTTTCACTTTCAGGCGAGGTATCCAAAACGATTGAAACATCTCCATCAAAAAAGCAGGTGAAATGTACGACTAAGGCAGTTAACTTTGAGGACGAACTGATTTGGAGTTGGAATGGCCTGGAAAATTCAAGTTCAGGCGTTTTGACGGTTTGCAAGTCAAGGTGCTTAAAACCACAATTATCTGAAATGACATTATCTTTGTCAACACACTCAACAACAGCTTCTTTGTAAAGATCTGGAACAACATCGTTCATTTTGAACCCATAGACATCATTCCAGAAGTGAAACCTGTGCTGATAACTCACCTCATCGCTCACAGCTGACACAAACATAGACGCTCTATTTGGAACGACCAGACCGTCTGGTTTAAGATATTTGTCCCTGGCTGTTATGACACTGTCTAACATGCATTCAAACAACAAACCGTATCCCATCCATTCTGATATGAGAATGTCGAATTTTTTGTCCACCTCAATTTCTTCAACTTTCCCCTTTACAACCTCAATCTTAGAAGACAAGTTGTTTGATCTAATAACGCTCCTGGCCTTGTCCACGATTTTAGAGTTGTCAACTGCCATAACAGACCGGGCTCCGCCCTGGGCACAGAACATTGATAAGATACCTGTGCCACAGCCGACATCTAATACATCCTTGTCACTGAAGATATCTTTGTTCTTGTAGATGTAGTCTCTGTAAGCCTCTGTTCGTACTTTGTCCTGCAGCATTTCCGCATGGATTGTGTAATCTGCGTAGCTCTCAAAATAGTGGGAGTCCGTTGCAGGTCTCAGTTGTGCGTTGGATTTATCAGTTTTTTCGAGTAGGTCCATGTAAGCCTGTTGCATTTGCTCTAATTTAGCTTGTAGAAATTCAACCTTTCCATTGTTTGATTCACCGTTTGCATTCTTCTCTTTACCATTCGCTGCACAACTTTGAGATTGGGCGTGTGAAAGTTCTTCAAAATCAATCATCAGCAAAGAATCATCATTTAGACAGGGCTTCAAATATTCATCTTCCAACGATTCAGACCTCTTCAATACTGTACTAAACTCCTCAACACTACATTTATTACCCCGAGTATAGTTTATCACTTTAATGGTCCCATAGAAGGACGTTTCACTGAAAGCCGAAACAAGGTTCAGTTTGTGTGCTTTTAGGGAGTGGTCCATGAGGTGTCCACTCGAGCTGAGAACCATGTCACAAAACAAACAGAGAAACTTCTCCTCTTCAGTCTCTTCCTCTTCCAGGTAGTCATCTTCATTGTCAGAAGAATCTGAGCTGTAAGAGGGCTGCAGCATGATCCACCTGGAGAAAAGAGATGGATATTGACAATGAGGATATTCAATGTGAGCCTTTTGATATCTCGTATTGTGTACAATGTAAAATTAACATGGTAATTTTAAGCAAAGCTTGGAGAATTTATATCGATAGGCTGCATTTTGTACTTCCTACTTTGTTAATGAACGATGAACGAAAAGCCGAAGTAAAACACATGTATCTACATTCTACAAATCTAGAAGAAGAATTCCAATTGCGATTCATATAATCCGAATCAAATTATGAGATGTAAATAAGTTAATATTAACCATACAATACGACACACACAAGTCAAATTTTTAAACAACAGTGAATCGTTATTTATAGCCAAAATTCATCAACGTAAAATGCATTCAAGCAACCGTTCCATAATGCAACTACTATCCCAGTTACGAAATTCCAAAAACAACCCTAGAAATTATCCATATTATATATATTACGTTTTTTTCAAGCGTTAAGTCACCCTTAATAGCAGTTACGAATGAATCAGCTACCATACATATTCCATATTCCCCGGTTTAAGATAATATAATGAGAACAACCCATTCGCCACTAAGGATAAAGTGGCGCATTGTGAAGACATACATGTCTGATAACTGAAAACAAGCTGAAACTTGGCCAGCAACTAAAACCCTTTTTAATATTATATTCTCACAATGCTATAATTCTGGCCGACACAATTATTGCAATCATTGTAATATCCCCTTTCATAGCCCTTCAATACAAAACTAAAAGTTTCACCATACCATATATTGTATAAAAATTCAAACAACATTCATTTCAATTTGAACCACTTGGGGACAGGTTTATCTCCCCTTGGCCGACTACTCCCAGTGCTCTGTACATCATCTAATCTAGTTACAGGCGAAGGAAGTTCATGTCTGCTCGAATTTGGGCTGTCATTTAAAATGTCTGGTTTACCGACTACATCAGTGAGCTGACCCAAAGCGCCCGAAGGATCAGATTCTACAGTTAGATCGGGTCTCATGACAATGTCACCACCAGCGTGCAACAGGGTTGTCAGAGTTAGTCCAGCGTTTATCAAAGTTTGTCCTGGTTTGACGAGTCGTTTGGGTGGGGCTTGATAGATTGAGAGATTTTCAACGCTATCCTCAGTCAGGTAGTCGCCCACAAATTTGTAGAGGGAGTCTGTGGTGCTGGATTTTGTTTCGAAAACGTTTTGTAGCATCAGTCCGTTAGGTAATCTGAAAAGTAATAGGTATCACGTCACCTGATAGTTCACAAAAAGAGTCTCCGAGTACAGCTTGTATGACAGAAGACTTTCATGCAATAAAACTTTCGGTCGGTCAGAACTGAGATTATCTAACAGCCTAGTAGAATTGAAAAAATTAGGCAATTACACAAAGTTTTGAGGTCAGGGAATCGACATGAGTATCATTTTATCAACTATTTAAGTGTAGTAAGATGTTCATGCTAACAGACCTAACTAACGTCTGACACAGTTAATAAACAATCACCCTTTCAAGCATTTGATGTAACAAATAATTCAATAACGTGAAAGTTAAATAGGTGTGACATACTATTATATTCTTATAATTATATCATATGAATTGATTGCACTGCTAATAAAAAATACTTTGTTTTACTAAATACTTTTTTTAAACTAAAGATATTCTACATGATCAGGTGAAATAATTACCTGATTCTAAAAACAACTTGATCGGGAAGAATTTTCTCTTTTTCAGGCTGTCGGAACCGGAATTCCCTCTCTGATATCTTGTGCAAATCTCTCAACATCGATTTCAGATCTTTGTCAGTAAACTCGAAAAAGTCATCCGATTCTTCCATCCGACTGAAAATATATTGCGTTACTCCTAACAGATGATCATAGAATGAGTAATGAGTTATAATGTTTGATTCAACATTTGATGACAACAATAACCCAACAAATGTTTGACTGACTTACTCTTTTTCAACATTATTAGCAGATGGATCAAACAAAATTGGCACATTGCTAACAGGTTTCCTTTTCTCTTCCATTCTAACGGGGGTCGGTTCCTCCGTTAGTTTGGCCATACAACGGTTTACTTTTTCGAAAAAGTCTGTTTCCTCAACCTCCATTTCTGAGGGGTTGCTGCTCACACTTGACTCCTCGACAATAACCGGACATGTTATCTCCGTTTCCATCTCCTGGACATTCTGGACATCCTGGACATCCTTTTTAGGAAGAGGTTTGGGAGATGTAGTTTCTGGTTGTGATGATTCCTCTTTCACTTCTTGTAAACGCAGCAAAGCACTTCCCTGAAAGTAAGACATGAGATCATAAGTTGGAAAATATCAGGGCAATGTTATCGGAACAGTTGACAATCGAGACCAAATCTACACAGAATAACACTAGTCGCTGTATTGTTAGAAGTTTAAAAACTGCCTAAGAAAGTGTTTTTGATGTCGGAGTAAGAAAATGGCATGAACCTTGAAAATTCCCAGGTCTGCTAGAGTAGTGGTTCCAAATTTCTCAGCTCCGATCTTGCATTGTAAGTACATGAGAGATGAAACGGCGCCTAAATCTTTACCAATCGCTGCGAGAAGATCGATTAGAACAGTCAAACCCATCCGATTTTCTGTTATCAAGGTTTATGTGGGATCATGGTTGCCGGTTAATATCAGAGTTATAGTAACTAGTTTTACCTTTGGGCAATTCCACGGTAAGGTTCCACTTGGTGAAAATGAAAAATGTTAAGATAGGCACCTAATTTTGGTTAAAATATGTTCATTAGACTCTTAACCTTACAAGTCAACAAAAGTTTTTTGTTTCATATTGCGTTAACTTTTGATTTTTCTCATTCAAAGGAACACTACTCGGAAATGAAAAAAATCGTCCAAATTTTCAAAGGGCCATAGTTTGGGTATGCAGCAATATTTCTCTATGAAATTCCATACACTTAGGCATATGCATAAGAATGAGAGCTATGCAAAGTTTCAAAACCGTTACTCAAATACTTTTTCTAAAAAATTTCCACAAAGATGGTGTCACGTCCGTCACAAAATTAAGCAAAAAAGTTTTTTCAGAGCCACATAGTGCTATTTATATTCAAAAAACCACTTTAACCTATCTCTTCTGAAGGTAAGGGAGAACCGTAGAAATTATCAGGCTTGTATCTTTTAAGAAAAAAATTTTGTAAGGGGGTCCCAACTTGTCGCGTCCGTCACATTTTTTTGAAAATGCTCCAAAAAATCTTTAAACAGACTTTAAAGGCATTTTTCTTAAAGCTGAGGCCGTCCTCAACAAAACTATGTCGTCAAATCAAAAATTGGACAGAAAATGACCGAGTTATGTATAATTTTGTATATGCCCATATATGGGCATACGGCTCACTTTTAGCCATTTTTATCCATATTTCCATTATTTTGACTAAAACCAAGACAAATAGAAGTCAAATAAGGTTGGATTGTGTTGACTATGTTGACTAGACTATCAAATAACATCATATGCAATTCAATAATTTAATTTACTGATTTTTTGCCATTTTATTTGCTTACAACTTTTTCAGAGGTAAAAGGCACAAAAAATGGACTTAACCCTATTTTCGCATATTTTTGAAGTAAAAATTCAATATCTTCCACATTTTAAACACTAAAGTAATGAAACTTTTAGGAGATGGTCTCAACAGTATGATGCGTTGAACAGTGATGAATGTTTTACCAGAGTTATAAATTTGTTCAAGTAGAGAAATAATTGATGCCCCTAGACTGATACCCTAGCGTATGCCCAAAATGGACGATTTTGGCTGTTGCAGACCTCTTGGGGGTATTTGAGGCCTAAAAATTGGCATGAATACAGAGTAGATGTCACTGAACAAGATAAAAGTGTCAAGTGGAAGATTTGGAAAAATTGAAAAAAAACGTGTGTCCGTCACAGTCACGTCTGTCACAATTTGAAAATGGCGCCACGCAAACAAAAATTGAGCAATCTCTAAGAAAATGGCATCTCAGAAATCCCTAAACCTTCTTCTATCATTGTAATTCCAAATTAGATACAATAGATAACTTTTTGAGATAAATTTGGGTACCATCTGAGTAGACACCCAAAAAAAGTGTCATATTTACGTCACGTCTGTCACAGGGGTGCTATCTCAGAAAGTAATAATGGTAGGGGTCTGAAATTTTCACACAACCTGTAGAAAGGTTAAATGTGGACTAATAAACAGTTGGAGCTGATAAATAAACAACATCTCGAGTACAACATTCGTTTGAACTTTAAAAAACAACAAAATCGTGGTGTCCGTCACGGTGGAATTGCCCCTTTGTATTGAACACTAAGCTCCAGTACCAGTATCAGTAAACTGGTAGTTATCTCAACTACCTACTTACAATAGCTTCACTTGGATTGGAGTTTTATCATTCCATGTGTATGACGGTTGTATGACGGTTGTATGAGTTCACTATAACATTTGAAGTTCTGTTAACTAAATTACTTACCATTACTTACACTGTATAGTTTGAGCAATTGTAGCAGTATTTGCTATCTTGCCCATAACTCTTCCTCCGGATTCTAGTTGAAGAGCAATACTTACAACCTCACTCTTCTGAATATCTTCAAATAGCTCCAGTTTAGCCCTGTCAATAGTAACGGTTAAATTAGCGCTATGATAAACAAATTTAATTTCGGACATTTTTATTTTTATATGATCTAAAAATTTTATCTCCTTTAAATGGGAATTGCACACTTTCAAATAAACAGGAAAACAAAGCCATGATACAACATACTTATTAGCTATGCCAGACAATCTAAAAGGCAGTGAGAGATCAAAGGCTTTCTTTGCGTCTTCCTTTCTCATTCCATATTTAGCTGGATCAAAGCCTTGTTTCTCACAAGCCTACAAAAAATAAATCAATGTTGGAACATGGATATAATTATAGAAAATGGCTAGTAAATGAAACAACACCTAAAACACGTCATGAACTCAGCCCCTCCCCCCCTCCCCCCCCCCCCCCCCCCCGCTCTAGATACAAAAACAGCAGTTTTAATTTTAAATGTATTTTCTATGTTACTATACATTTTCACGAAAAACCGACATATAACATGAATTAAAAGTACTAACCTGCTGTTTGATAGAATTTAAAGGACTATTTGGTCCAAATGCGATGCTGACTCGGCGTCCATTAGGACAGAGAACCCAGACAGAGCTACTCATTTAATCATAAGGCACTGCAATTTAACAATTTAATTCTAGAAATGATATATTGATATTTGATATATTATACTTAAAATGTTAAAAATATTGGGCTCAGACAATAGAGCTGAGGTCATCTTGGCCGGACATATAATAATCATGATAATTTTCATTCTGGAGATCATTTGAATTTTTGAGACAAGTAAAGGATGCAATCTGTTTTCACAATAAAACGATAATTCCAATATTAGTACAATTAATAGATACTTTCTTGCAAATAATACAGATACTTAATCCTTTTGCAAATACTTGTAATACAGATACCAAATCTTTTTAAACATCTGTTCTATTACATAATATCATTTTGTATTGTTTAAGACTTACAGGAGCCCAAGTCAAAAATAATATTGCATGCGTATAAAATAAGCCATTTCAGGCATAATCATTAATATATAAACTTCAAATACAGTATTGATAAGCAACATAATTGTCAAATCTTGGTGAAATATGATTTGAAACTTAAAATAAAGTATATATCATTAAACATTTCAACATAAAAAATGTAAATGTTAATGCAATGTTTTAATAACATAACCTTAATACCAAATGGTTTCAAAATGGTAATAATAATGTACCAAACTTGACAAGGTCGGTAAATCCATTAATTTGTTTAAATCTTCAAAATGCAATCATGTACACCATGTGTATATGTACAGTGCAGAGGGTGAGTTACATACATTAATAGATATAAGCTTATTTAAAGTTTTAAATATAATGCAAAAAAATGTCAATATCCTGTTCTAAATGAATCACTCTTGCTGCTGCTTCTAGAATCATCATGATGTCTGTATTGATCACTATGCTGTTTGTAAGATGCCTGGTATTGGCTGTATTGGTACTGTCCATACTGATCATATGAATATGGTGGGTACTGGTTTGGATAGCTGCCATAAGGATAAGGGGGATAGTTGTATCCATTATATCCTGTGGGTGGAGTTGGATTGTAACCCATTGGTGGTCCGCGGTGAGAGGTGCTAGATGAACTTTGAGTATGGCGAAGATACTTTTCATAGTCAACAAAGTAATCTAAGTTTGACCTTGGATCTTCATGAATATCAGCAATAATTTCATCAATGCATGCATTCACTTTTTCATGGTCACCTTCTATTGTTATAACTCGCTCAGGTAGTTCATGAGGGAGCTCTTTTTTATTTGTAGTCTTTATCATAACATTGTGTCTAGTTTTCAATTCATTGATATTGTCTCCTCCTTTTCCAATGATTTTACCGATTACATTGTCAGATACAACAACTTTACACACTCTTTTCCTTTTCTCAAAGCGGGCTAACTCTCTTTCATCCTTAGGCTGGAATTCATCTTCTCTAATGCGCAGCTGAATGAACTTCACAACACTTTGTATGGTACTAAGATCTGCCATGATAGATACATATCTTTCATTTATTACAGGAAACATACATCCTTGCTTAGATACTGTGATTCTAGCTCCTGTTGAATCTTTAAATTCTTTTAGACGTTCCCCACCTTTCCCAAGGATTGAACCAACAGCATAATTAGGACAGAGCACACGTATTACTTTGACAGTTTTTAGAATTTTTCTGTTGTCAGGAGCTGCAGATTCACTAGATTCTTTGTTATCAAGACTTTCTTCAAGAGAGCGTTTTTTTGAAGTCTCTGATTTTTCTTGATTTTCCTCTTTTCCTTCCATTATAGCTATTGAATACCTGTAATATGACTGTTATCAATTGGTAGAGAAGATTTTTTGATTAACCTTAAGTAAAATACAATTTATACAATTTTTATTTTCCACAGAAGAATCAATACATATTATGTAGTAGGCTAGGCCCCAAATCTACAACATCATAGGTACTGGCTAAAGTTTTTATTTTACCCCTTACCCCTGAGCACGAAAAAGCTGATCCGTAGCAGGCCAGGTGGTGGAATTAAAGGTATCAAAAGAAAACAACAATTTCAAGAAAACAACAATTTTATTTAGTATCAATTAAAGCAGACAAAAATATATTTCATATATATAACTAGCACGAACTTTAGATCAGATATCTTAGGGGACTTGGAGTAGCAAGAGATTGACTAAAAGATATATAACTTTTACAAAGATACGTCGAGAAGAATCCAGGGTGATACAGGATCGGAGAGTGCAGACCAAAAGTTTACGCACCCACCTTTGCCTCCTGAGTTCTTGGTTGGGTAGAAATTTATGCAAACTTGGTCGTTTATACTCCAAGTCCCTTTCTTAAAAGAAGTAGTATTAACTATGTCTAGAGTTAGCTTCGTTCAATAATAACAATATCAATATAATCAATATCAATACCAGATAAACCTACCGAATAAATTATTAAATATCAAAAAATATAAAATAAAGGTATCAAAGGTAGGTAATCACTCAGTGTTGTTACGTCTCAAATAAATTAATGCAGGGGAAATTGTGCAAGATACTCATAAAATTAATTAATTAATTAAAATTGAAATTTAAAAACACCACTATTAAGCGTACACTTTTACTCAGCAGTGTCACTACAACTAGTTTACAAAAATACTTTTAAAACTATATATCAAAAGCAAAATAAAGTTCTATGTATAAATTCGTTCATAAAACTTCCAAAAAGCTAATATAATTTAGATAAGTCAAAGAGAGGGTTAAAATTATTAATAAAACATTTTTGCTACCTCAGTGTCAGATAAAGTAAACAAATAAGTCTTCAGTGCGGACTTAAACGCCTCAACAGAATAACATTGTTTAACTGAGTCTGGTAGTGCATTAAAAACTCGTGGACCAACCACACTAAAACTACGATCACCAAAACCCTTGGTTGAACGATAAGGGACTATGAGCCTAACAGTGTGTCCATGGTGAGCATACTTAAACATATCTTGAAGGTACAGTGGCGCTATTCCATTAATAGCCTTAAAAGATAGGAGACATATTTTAAAAATCACTCTTTTAGGTATATTAAGCCAGTGCAATTTATCAAGATCGTCGCCTAGGTGATCAAATTTATATTTTCCAGTTACTGCTTTTGCACAGGCATTTTGAATAAGCTGTAGTTGATGTATGAGGTACTTGGAGATGCCGTAAAACATGGCGTTACAGTAGTCCAAACAAGAAACAACAAGGCTATTAACAATTGTCTTAAGCTGTTTTGTAGTCAGCAGAAACCGTATCTTAGTGAGGTTGCGTAGTGTTAGGAAACATTTCTTCTTCAACTCAACAACATGGTTGCTCATAGTAAGCCCAGAGTCCATATGTATCCCAAGATTCTTAACTGTGCTCACAAATCGAATAGTTGTGTCACTCCCAAAATTCACTCCCTTTATATTGATCTCTCGTAAGACGGACATAGGACCAAAAACGATTATCTGTGTTTTACTGTCATTCATTGCTAGAAAGTATTTTTTCATCCAAGCTCTAATAGATGCAAAGCATCCCCTGAGCTTAGAGAGTAACGTTTCGCACTGGTTGATGGGTTTAAATCTCTTTAAGATCTGGTGGTCATCTGCATACCCATAAATTGTGAAGTCCATTCCTTGTACAAATCTATAGATGGATCTGATATAAAGGTTAAACAGAACAGGTCCCAGAACTGAGCCCTGAGGAACACCAAACTTAATAACTATTTCTTCAGAGAGAGTAGAACCAAGTCGAATTCTCTGAGCACGACCTTTTAGAAAGCTAGTAAACCATTTTAACACAGTGCCCCTTAGTCCTATCTCCTTCATGAGAATGTTCAGTAAGACATCATGGTCTACAGTATCAAACGCCGCCGATAGGTCAAGCATCATGACAACTGTAGCACTCTTTTCATCTGATGCAACTAGAAGATCATTCCATATTCTGATCAATAATGTTTCTGTGCTGAAGGTCTTCTTGTATCTTAGAGAAGTTGTAAAAACTGTACAATGAACAACAATGAACAACTCAGGTGCTGAGATATAGTAAGTTAGAGTTTCTGGATGTGGCCGCTTTACAGTCTGTTCAATGAAAATCAGCATTTATTACATAAATCTTCAACTAATAACACATTGCTTGCCTTGAAATGCATCAGTGACTAGATATGATCTGATGATTTTCGCATTCAATCAAGTAGTATACGACCCTGACATATACACCAGGAGCTACTCCCAGTAAACTCAGGTGTATCGGAAAAACTCTATAGGCAGCTTATAAATTGGAAAAAATTATTCAAACAATATACACATAATATAACAATTACCCTATATAAAATTCAATATAAATTCAATAGAAAACCCTTGAACACCCTTTAAGTAGTATAAGTAAGCCAGTTTAAAGAACTGGCTCCAAATTTATATCTAATTCTGCTATTTTTACTGCACTACTACTTTTAAACCCTCTCTCTCCTCTAAGAGCTATGATTGTTGTTCTCAATAGGTCAAATCTTACTCTCTTCCTAATAAATGTCATTGCCTCACTATATCGTTGGCCTGATTTCCTAGATAGTTTATCCGCTAACTTCTTGAAGAACTTATTAGCTTCCCTTCCCATACCCCCAGTGGTTGATAGGACTATCGGTGTAAACGTCCCATGTTCGACTTCTACAATCCTTTTATTGTATAAATTCTTTTTCTGTCTCTCGTGGTTATTGTACATAGTGGTTGGAGATCCAAGAGCCTTATTGGAAGGAGCTTGAGCATGAAATACTCTTACATCTAAAAATGCCCTTTCCAATGGGTTCCATACACTCCTAGCACTAACATATATGGGCCTAAAATATCCTCCCTGATTTTGGGTTAAATCCATAACTACATAAATTATCTACTTCTAAATAATGAGCCTGACCGTTGCAGGAAGCAACCTGGAACATTGTCTGGACACAATCACATTGTGCATCCCCCAACCCGCCCCCTGAGCAGACAGAAATAATTCATGTTCTGAGCAAGTCAGATCGTAATCTGCGTCTGACAAAAGCCATTACATCAGAGTATTTTTGACCTTTCGGATGGCTGATATTTTCTGCTAGATGCTTCCAACATCCGAGTAAATATATAAATATGTTCATTGTACTGCTGGTCTACATAGTAATCGTATAGTATCAATTAAACCAATTCAGTATCAACAAACCACGATAAACTGTGTAGAAGATAAGAAGTATGTCACAAATAGAGCCGACTTTAGAAGATAAAGCATATGATAGGAACGATAGGAAATAGTATGAATGGGTACTCCACATCAATGAGAATACATGAAAACATAGTTAGTAATCAGATTACAATTCAAAAAGATAACCAAATAGGGTGAAAAGGAGTTTCGAAATGCAACAATAGCACTAATAAACAACCAAGGCACTCCCATCATCTTCTCATCTTCTCACTCACCATCACTGCCCAATCAAATTTATGCAATCAAAATCACTATACACCCATAATCATATGATCAAAACACAAAGCTTTGAAATATACTTTTTTCTGTTTGAGATTTGAATAACGTTACTGTAATGTTCCAAATAATATTTTAAATGTTCAAAAAAAAATGAGAAAATATTATATGATAGTATTTGCTTTCGCGCTCGATTTTAATACTACGGTGTAAATTTTCGAAAATATGCGCGGCGCGCCTAAATTTTGGTTCCATTTAGGGATTGTTCACATATTACGTAATCACTTTTTGGAAAATTTTTACCTCCCCCCTCTCCGTAATCAGTTTTACGCATATATAATAGCTATTGTGTCAAAATTACAGTAGCGTAACCCCCCTCGGCTGATTACGTAATATATGAACTACCCCTTAAAATGAATTTTTCGGTCCAAATTATATTTAATATATTTAAATTAGTCGTTATTACAAAATGCATTTTTTAAATTTCCAAAATATAGCACATAAGTACCAAAAATGAAGTGCGCGCAAAAAGTCTAAATTTTGACCACTTTTTAAATTTTTGCCCGGGGAAAATAAAGGGATTTGTTTTATTTTTACTCCATCTTGTGTTTACATAGTGGAGTAAAAATAGTTATAATCTATGACTCGAAACACTTTCAGAAAAGTTCATTTAAATTATTAAGTATTTTGAATCCCACTCTTAAGATTTACGGGGTTCATTGTATATATTTACTTTATGACTTTTGGGTAAATTTAATTTTTTATATCTGGTCAGACATTAGGCTCTTTCTAAATCGCTCGCCCAAACCGTAATAACAATTTCAACTTTTGCGCGTCTCCTAAATGCGCGTTAGTTATCTGTGATAATTTTAGCACCGGCGAACCACATGGTCTGGACTAGCAAAGTTCACTCAAAACGTTCCGCGCCCGCGGATAAGTCAATATTTGTGGTTTTCAGAGACCAGATATTGCCATTTTGGATCATAAAAAAGGCTTGATAGGTCTATAGATATCAGAACACTATTTATCAGTAATGATCAAATTTATAGCTAGTAGATGAATTTTGTGAGACAATCAGGAACGAAAGAAGACAGCGTTTTCTAAGCCAAGTATGACACAAGAATAGGCCATTCTACAAAACAAATAAAATGTTTTACAGAAAATGGGACCATTAAATCTTCTTGGTACCTATTTTACCATTTGCTATCAGTTCAGAACAATAATCGAACTTCTTGTCATAATTATGCATGAATCTATTTATACACTTATGTTCGACCTATAGAATTTCTTTGACAAATCGGTAATTTTTACAAGCATCATCATTTAACAGTTAACACCCTTAAATAGGGCGTGGCACTTTTTTCATCATGCA